ACAGTGTCACCCACCCATGTCATGAGTTTTGCCTGTCAGCAGCTTCAGGTGCAGTTTCCCAGAAACCCTTGCACTTATCTCCTTGAACCTTGGCAGGCTTTGTGGCCTCAGCAGGGGCTACCATCCCTGAAGTTTTCACCCTGCTGTGCCTTAACACACATGCATGACATGAGTTTTGCTTTGAAGACTTTGAGGTCCAGTTTCCTGGAAAACCCCTGCACCTATTTCCTTGAAACTTGGCAGACTTCATGGCCTCAGAAGGCGCTACCATCTCTGCAAGTTTCAGCCAAATCAGGCAAGAAATGACAAAGCTATAGGCTGTTTTGTACTTCCCCGTTATAGCCTATGGGTGAAACATCAAAACAGTGCCAGAACAGCAGAACTGTTTTGACGAAACAAAATGTAACAGCAGTTTTGAATCGAAATGAAATTCAAACCGAAACACTGTTCCGTCTAAACATGAAAATAGAAGTCAAAACAGAATGGTGCCATTTCACACAGCCCTACTAGGGACCTCTGCTGGCTGAGGTATTAACCGCCAGTCCCACTCTCCATTCCTGTCACGCCTGGATTTTCCTGCTGTGCCCTGGTCTTAGTAATAGAACAGGGTGAAGGGGAATGTACCTGGCCTCCATTGTAGCTTGTCACAAGGGTTAAATTGAGTCCCACTGGGTGTCATCATGGGACTCCTTCTCCCCTATACCCTGCCCACACCTCTCTGGGAGAACTGTGCCATTGCAGATGTTGACAGCTCCTCTTTCAAGGTGATCTCTTATCTTCCTCTCTTTCTTACAGAATGGCCCCTTTAAGATGCTGGGCACCATTCTGAGGCATTGCCCTTTTTAGAATCACCAATCCAAGCAATAAACACAATTTGGGCTTGCCTTATCCACTCTGTGAGTCCTCCCCTTCCCCAATGGGGGACAGCCCTTAGATTCCTAGACCCTAGTGGTCCCTCCCTCAGCCCCTCTCGGGGTCCTAGACCCTTGGGTCCCACACTCAGCTCCTTGCCAGACTCCTGAGTGCTGCTTGGCTGGGCTAGCTTGGCTACTCACATTCTCACTCCTGGATCTGTAGCTGCTTGCCCTCTGCTGGTAAATTTTCATGAACACTTTGTACAGCTCATACATATGAATCCACAGACATTTTGAGAGAGAGAGAGAGTGCATGTTGCTGTTTGGTGTCTGTCACCATGTCTGAATGCATCCAAAGTATACAAAAATAGAAAAGAAAACAATAATGTCTCCCTCCTGTGTCTGCATGAGAAATATTGTAATTAGGGAGTGCTTGTGTTTGATTCACTAAGTGGGTGGGTATGTTTTCCATGTGGGAAGAGCTCATTCATGAAAAGATTAGTTAAATGAACTTTGCATTAGTTCTGAACACAGTGAGGCCTGTGGCCATTCATAACTCCTGTGGGAATTAATTTCAGATCCAGCTCCTATAGAGCTCTGGTATGTCTCTGGTATGCACAAGCCTCTGCTGGACTTTCCTGTTCTCATAAATCTGTTGCCCAGCACTGTCATTGCTGAAGTAGAATATTGCTGTTGTATGAGGTCAGAGCTATGGAAGGAGAATTAGTTTTTCAGTTACTAAAGGCCATTTGTGTGGAAGAATCATAAGATTCTTGAGCTATACACTGTATTCAGTGGGAAGTTGGTGTGTTTGTTGCATCTTTTTTGCTATGTTCTCAGGCAGATGGAGCCTTTTTTGGGTATAAGGCTTTACTCTTGGATAGAATGAGCAGCAGTAATCAAACTCAGAAGTCACGAATAACTGGATTACCGAGGCCAGGTCTGACAAGGCAGACTGCATCTGCTGGCCACTTGCAATAGAAATTGGCATTTCTGTCATTATGATATTGTCCAAAAGGATCCCAAGGATTCAGACTGATTTAATAAACAAAGAGGTACTTTTGGTAATGAGGAATGTTGGAAAGAAGGTAGACTTTTCCAGGTGTATCCTTCTTGCAAGCATCTTGGCCAGATTCAGCTTTAGTCACTGCCAGCTGCTCTTTATTCAAACAAGGCACAAGAGATGCAGAGCTGGGTGCCACTTGTGACCTGCCAGCACTCCCTCTGAGATGCCTTGCCAGCTCTCCTGATGCCTTTTTGTATTTTGCATGCTATGGATGGGAGGGCTGGGTCTTGTGGGATTCTATATCTGAGAGCTTGGGGAGCAGGAACAGCCCTCTAGGTTTAGTCTGTGAGGAAGGTTTCCCAAGCTGGTTCAGGGCATTCCTAATCATTCCTACAGACTGCAGGAGGCGGGACATATGTGGCTGAGGACCAGTCCTGTCAAGCATTGCAGGTTTGGCTGCCTGGGTGAGGATGCACCTCGCTTTGCTGTGGGCAAGAAAGGTTAGGGACATTCACCAGAGCAGCAGGAGTGGTTACTGAGCTCCTTATCAAGAGAAAGTTTCTTTTGTACTGATCAGACTATTGCACCCTAGTATGTACCGTAGTGCCAGCAGTTACATGTGCATGTGTTCAAATGCATATACACACAGGTACAGACATGATTTGGGGCTATTCCCTGCCATAAATATACATATGCCTGTACAAATAAGATCACATCTCCTTCCCCTCACTCATCACACAAAGGTGCACATACATTCACACTCTTGCTATCTGTGATTTCTGCCTTGGTCCCCTCAGTATCATAATCATCACTGCCAACCCCTCACAGTCAAGGATGACTGTTTTTCATGATTGTTTCATCTGTGGGTCTAAAGATAGCTGATGAGGCTGACCAAGGATTGACAGACTCTGTTGCAACTCAAGCAGGTGTTTGTGTGGGGTGGGTGGTTCTGGATTCTTGATTCAGTCCACAACACGCTGTTTCTGCCACTCCCACTTTTCTGTCTCCCGTTGTTGTCATAAGGTTTCAAAGTACTGAGACCCTTGCAGCAGACTCTTCCTTCATTTGGAGAGGTCCTGGGTGATAGTGTCCCATGAATTGATGTTGATGTAATATTTTTTTAAGTTGGCTTTGAGGACATCCTTGAAGTGCTTTCTCTGCCCTCTTCTTGAGTGTATGCCTTGACTGAGCAGGAAGAATAAAACTTGCTTTGGGATTCTGGTGTCAGACATCTGGATGACTTGGCTGGCCCAGCAAAGCTGATGTCAGATTATCATCACCTCAATGCTTGTGGTATTTAAAAATTCATAGAAGTTAGGGGCTGGAAGGGACCTCACAAGATTTTCAAGTCCAGCAGAAAAGCAGGAAAGACTGCTGAGGTCAGATGCCCCCAGTGAGATGTGCATCCAGTCATCTTTTGAAGATTTCCTGGGAAGGTGACCATACCGACTCCGGGGGGAGTCTGTTCCAGACTCTGGACACATGAACCATAATGTTTTTCCTTATGTCTAATCTGAGTCGATCTTCTATCATTTTATGACCATTATTCCTAGTTTTCCCCTGGGGTGTCTTGGTGAACAGATGTTCTCCTAGCCCCTGGTGTTCACCCCTTACATACTTAAGAGCTGCCACCAAGTCCCCTTGACTTCTCTTTCCCAGGCTGAACAGTCCCATGTCCTTCAGCCTCTCCTCATATGGTCTGTTCTCCAGACCTCTAATAATTTGTGTGGTCCTCCTTTGGACTCTTTCCAGCTTCTTTACATCCTTTTTTAAGTGCAGTGCCCAGAACTGGATGCAGTACTCCAGCTGCAGCCTCACTAATGCCCAATAGAGCAGGAGGATGACATGCTTAGTCTTGCTTGTGATGCATTGATCAATGCATGCCAGAGGGCTGTCCACTTTGCCAGCTATAGCATCACATTGGTGGCTCATGTTCATTTTGTGGCCGATCATGACCCCCAAGTCTTTTTCAGTTGTGGTGTAGCACCACTGAGCCTGAAAGTATGTTGTGGATTATTTCTCCCCAGATGGAGCACTTTACATTTCTTAATGTTAAAAATTATCAGGTTTAGATCTGTCCACTTTACAAGCCTATCCAAGTTAGCCTGTATCCTCAGCCTGTCTTCCAGTGTGACAGAAGTGGACTCTGCTTGTGAGTGGACTCTAATGTTGGTGCATCTGTCTTCCCACTGGATTGGAGGGACATTCTGCAGGCAGCATTGATGGTACTTTTCCAGCGACTTCAGATCTCCTGTACATTGTCCACATTTCAGCTGTGTACAGTAAGGTAGGGATCATGACTGCTTGATAAATCATGACCTTGGTTTCAAATGTGACATCACAATCTTCAAATACCTGTTTCCTCAGGTGTCTGAAGGCTGCACTTGCACTTTTAATGCAGTGTTGGATTTCTTCATTGATGTCAGCCTTCTGTGAGAGATGGCTTCCCAGGTACGGAAGTTCCTTTCCCCTCAGTATGTCACCTTTCTGATTACCCTCTAGAACATAATGGGTGTTGGAGTAAGTGGCGCTGAAGACATGAGATGTGGCTTTTGTTTCAGTGAGGTTAGTACCTGCTCTCCTTCTCACCCCTGTAAAGCTGTGTAGCTTGCCAATGCCTCCTCCATAATGGTGTCACAGGTGTGCCCCTTCCTTCTGCTGTGGGGCAGCTGCTTCAATCTCTCCCTGCCATACTAGAGGAGTTTCAGAGGTATTTTCCGGGGGTCAGAGCAGCTAGGTGCTTCCACCGACAGACAGCAGAAGGCTCCCCAGGCATACAGAAGCAGCACAAAGACTGCTTGTCTTGCTCCTTCCTGAGGACGAGCCATTTGTGCCGGGCCAGAAGAAGTGGTACCCAGCAGCGGGATGCTGGGTTGCTAGGAGACGGGCGAAGGTGAAGAGGATAGCTCTGCAGAAAGGTATCAGCGAAACGCCTAATGCGGCCGCGGGCGCTGCTCTGTAGCAGAAGGTGTCAGTGCAGCAGCGGCTGGCCAGGAGCTGCGGAAGGGAGAGGGGCGGCAGGATGCGCTGATGAGCAGGGGAGGCAGCGAGCAGCCGCGCAAGGACGGACGATCCGGGACATGCGTGGGGAGGAGAGCCGGGGTAGCTGCTGAGCTCGGTGCCTGGGAGAAGGACGATGCTTCTCCCGAGAGCAGCCGCGGCGCCCCCTGCCCGCCTCAGCGCCCGCCTCCGTGGGCCCGGCGCTGCGCCCGCGGCCGCCGCGCTGACCCCTCCCTTTGCTTTTGACTTTGGCATCTGAGGCCCTGTCCGCCGGCTGTGAGTACTGTGCTGGGCACTCGCCAGAGCCAGGCAAAGCGGGCGGCTGCAGTGGCCGCGGAGACAGGAGCCTGGGGTCACTCGTTCCCAGGCAGGGGCAGCAGGCAGCAGCGTGCCTTGCCTCCGGGCTGCGGACAGGAGCGGAGAGCGGGACCCGTGCCCTTGGGAGGGGGCAGTTGCTCTGCAGGGAGCCAGAGCTGGAGATGGCGGGGAGCGGGAAGTGCGGGGCTGGTGATGTCCTTGGGAAACCTCAGCTGCCAGGAGAGAGAAGGCACCCGGTAGAAAATGACAAGATACAGACGGAGGTGGGCAGCCCCCTGGAGGTGGCGGCATTGGAGCCTCTTCCTTCTTGTGTCCCACCTTTCCTATGGTGCCAGCAGCTGGGGAGATGCCCCCTGTGTAAATCCCCCCTAAGGGCCAGAATATGGCTTTCCCAGGCTCAGTTACTGATGTTGGCTCCTCAGAAATGCCAAGCTGCTTCTCTGAAGGACTGTACCAGTCAAATGGAGCATTGCAAACCCAATAGAGAAAGAACAAGATGTTTCCTTTGCCCCAGCCCAGTAGTGGCAGGACAGCAAGGACTAGAATGGCCAAAGAGAGTGTGCCAGTGCATGAGGCTCTGAGACATCTTCCCTGCTGTCTCCTAGATCCATATGTCAGACCAGAACAGCACCGATGATGGGGAGGCAGATCCCCAGCACAGCTTGTACATGCTCTTCCTGCTCGTGCTGGTCTTCTTCATCATGGGGCTTGTGGGCTTCCTGATTTGTCATGTCCTGAAGAAAAAGGGCTATCGGTGCCGGACGTTTCGTGACGAGCTTGACCCTGACAACAAGGAGGTGTTGACAGAGCTCCAGGCCAGTGAGTAATGAAGCAAAAGGACAGGGCTTATTCTGCAGGGTGTAGCAGCCTCCTGCTAACAATATGCATTTGTTGGTGCACTGGTGGGCACTGTGCTTGAGGAGGTCCTGGTGGCCCAATAGTAAGAATGTCAGAAAATAGATGTAAATGGCAATGTACTATAATATGCACTGCTTGGGCAGGTAGCTGGCACACAAAATGAGCATAACTTGTACATCACAAGAATGGGAAGGGCAGGGATGTGGAAAGAGTAGCTAACAGCCATGAAGAAAGTACATGTGTACTTTTCCCCAAATCAATGGGGTAAGTTCAGTCTTGATGTAAATGTGTATAACTCCTGCTGACTTCAGTGGAGCTGCACCTT